ATTGTCGTGAGGACGGTATGTCCCACCGATCTGACGCCGGTGGAAACCTTTTTGGGTTGGTGCTCTACCAAAGACCAGGATGCTGCTAGTCTCACACGTCTAGTGAAAGACTGCCTCATGCGATACTCCCTTCCCTTGGGTGATTGCCGCGGGATCGCCACAGATGGTGCTGCAAATATGGTGGGTGTGCATAGCGGATTAAGAACACGGATAAAGGCGGAATTCCCCGCTGTCCTGCACACTTACTGTGCGGGGCACGCCCTAAACCTTGTGTGCCGCCAGTCGACGGACATCTGCGCTCCTTGTAAGGCAAGCATTGAGCTGATCGGACAGTTGGCCAAGCACATTAAGAGCTCGCCGAAGAAGCTTGCCTCATGGGAGGAGTTTGTGCAGCTACATCGTTCACCCGACGACTCCAGAATTGTGAATGATGATTTGCTTGAAGAGTACGTCTCTTCCCAGACAGAGTCTGATGGTTCAAGCGATGAGGAGGCTGTGGCAGGGCCAGTTCGAGCCCAGCGACTACCCACTCTGGAAACCCTATCGGATACGCGTTGGTTGTGCAACGGTAGAGCGGTGATTGCTGCCTTGGCTAACTATGAACTCTTGTTGAGCTATTGTAGCCAAGACGCCACTGGGGGCGACTCAGCTCTTGTTGTACTTGGTGAGAGACTCGACTCCTTCGAAACTTTCTATTGTTTACGTGTCCTTGACGACGTTTTCAAAACGGTCTTGCCTGTCCACGCTACCGTGCAGGCACCAGGTCTATCCATTTGCACTGTCCGGGATTTACTGGAGGACCTCAAGAAACGACTGTCCGAGAAAGCACAGAACTGGTCTAAGCTCGTTTCGTTCTATCAAGACGCAGTTGAAGATGCCCAATCACTTGGTATAGATCCACCAAAGCTTCACAGAGCAGCTCGTCGAGGTCTTCGAGCAGGTAGGGATTCTAGAGATCACATTGAGCAATTACTTCATATTCAATTCGTAGCTCGAATACATAAAGCATTGCTCCTCGAGATTGTTAAACTCATAGATCTCAAATATGATGTGGCTGATTTAACCATGGTTGGTCATATTGAGTCTGTGCTTCTGGCCAATGCAGAAGTGCCGAGCGCATTGAAGAACTTATACCAAGACATCGACTGGGATGCTCTGGTGGGAGAGAGGCAGGTTATGAGGGCATGGTTTTCTAGCCAGGGCAGGACTGAGATGGAGAATGGAGCACGCTTATCTATGGATGATCTCATAGTTGGTCTGAAGGCTGACATCGGGGGTCTCCTACC